ATCAAACTAAAAATACAATGGTACTTCAACCAACGATACCTAAGAAAATAATAAACTAAATGTATGCATATTTTTGAAAATTTATTTGGAGCTATAATATAAAATTAAAGTTATAGCTAGACATTTTTGAATTTAGAATATATTATGAATGATAGATGTTAGTTTACGTGATATTTAATTGGATCGATATGCAACGATGACAATAAAATAAAGTTAGCTCATATAATTTCTAGTTAAAATATTGTTACTTATTAAGTGTACATATGTTATCAAGTTGTACCAAATATAGACGTCTTTATTTACAACTAACTTTTAAATAATTGAAAAGCACAAAGAAATTGGTAGTTTTTAAGCTATCGACCGCATGAAGAGAATAGAAAAGAATATAAACTTTTAGTTAAAAGAAGGAGCTGAACAGGAAAAGGCGAAAAAGATGGTGGGGGGGGGGGGAGGGGGGGGTTGTTGATGAAGAATCTAAAATCTAATAACAATAGTATTAGAAAAAAGATTTTAAAATGTGAGAACTTAATTGAAAGAAAGAGAGGATAAAATCAAATTAGGTAAAAACCAAAACCAAACTGACGAAGAAACACCAAAACCAAGCTCATTACGGCATTTAAGTTTGTTTTGAAACAAAATACCACGAAATATAATTTGTAAGAAGTCTTGTTATTTTACATGTTCAAATAAGGAAAACAATTACATAATGTTATATTTTAATTGATTTAGAATCCTATTAGGATTTTCTATATGGTTCAAACAAGAAAAGATTTAATAAGTAAAAGTTTTAGTTGATTTCAAAGTTATAAATATTAGGAAAATAATTAAATGACTATTTTGCCTAATATAAACTCTATTTTAAAAGGATAAAAAAGCGAACGATATTTCGCTAAGGGTCTTCGTGCTTTTAATATAGTATAGATATGGATATAAATAGATAGATAGATTAATTGATATTTGAGAAAAAAATATTTTATGGGAAATCATGTATCTTAATCATTGAAATAAATCTATAAGGATATCAAAGGTCACTATATATATA